AAAAACCTGTTCATCATACGAATGTTGTTTGGTGTGGGAATCGAACCCATCGGCACAATAGTCAGGGTCGCTAAAAGTTCAACTAAATTTTGATTGATTCGGTGGTACCACACCACTAACTTTGTTAGTCCAATGAATCCTAGGTTAAATAGTGTTTTGGTTTCTTTTGATCCCATCTGACCCACTGATTGTTGATTGTCAATGCAAATGACATAACGCCGAGCAATCATTCCACTTTTTTAATCACCATTTAGTAGGTGCCAGGCGTCATTCAATATTTAATTGGGTCTAAAAATCGTCATATCACGTTAAATCTACAAAGAGAAAGACCTTCAAACGACATCATACTCTTCATGACAAGTACCTTTATCGACTGGAGGCACTCCAATTAGTTGTCAAACATTCCGGCATTGATTTAGAATCAACTTCACGAACTTTGTTGGCGATCGCCCGAAGGCGCTTCGAACTTGACATTAAAAATAATATTTTAAATTATGTAAAGTTAATATTTGTGTAGCTTTGAACGGGAGGACCACAGCTATTCTATCCGATAATGTTATTTAGGGGTGCTGTGGTATTTTTCTTTCTTTTCTTTCTTTTCTTCGCGACCTCTTTCTCACCGGATCTTTTAAGTGGGTTGCGATTCCGATCCCGTGATAGATGATGAGAAGCACTGCTCTTGCTACGGCTAGTGTTAACAAATCCTCTCAGATTGAGAATTAGCTTACCTATCCGTCTGCGTGAATCTGAAATAGCTCCGTGGACTACCAATGATTAGGCAGGGGAAAAAAATTGGCGATAGTTACAGCGAAGCCAAGCGACGCGTGACTGGTTTTTACTAGTATTAGAGAGAAATAGAATATCTAAGTTGCTCCGAATATATATATAAATAAAGTCTTTTGTTATAAAGCCTTTTGTGATGGGTAAAATTATGTTACGTTGCTTTATCCTAGCCGGTGGTAGCGAGCTGATTAGGAACGCTGCGAATTAGGTCTTCTTTTCATCCATAGCAGCATCAATAAAGCTTGGCTCTTGGCTTAATATTGCTAATAAAATAAAGCACATAGTTAAATAATTAACATGGCTTATAGCAGTTCCCGATAACGTTTAAAATAACAATACATTCCCGTACCTAAGTCAAATAGCGTCGGGCTCTCAAATATATTAAGTGTATAATCTATGCATCGGGCTATTAAATGTGAAATGACGTATCGTTTCAATTGTATGATAATACGTGCTTCCCTTTTTTGAAATTATGGTCACCACACGTCATTGTCTTGTTAACAGTTCAAGCGAAACTGTACTTTATGCTTTTAGGCTTAAGGAATGAAAGATCGATAGTACAGATTAGGAGCGAATTCGTCATTAAGTTGACAATTCTGTTTGTCGGTCAATTGTTTACTCTTTTTGGAAATGTCATTTTGTTTTTCGAGCAGCATTAGGCCGGTGCATGAGTCCTTCGTTTAGGTTCGAGATCAAATTGATATTGGTAGTGTTACCTTTTTCTAGGGTTTCCTGTCGTCAAAAGAAAATAATGGAACCCTTATATTATTTATTATAAGTAACACATTATGTTGTACGTCTGACTGTCTGATATTGAAATCATTTCTCTCAGGAACGGGTGAAGATATCAAGTCGAAATTGAAACCCATAGACACAGCCCCCTGAATTTCACTCCGGATCTTCTCAGTGGGTCGCGGTTCCGATCTGGTGGTAGATTCCGCGAAGCACTGCTCTTGCTAGGGCCCAGCATAGGTGGGAAAAAAGGCAAATTAAGTGCTTCTATTAAAAAAATTGGTAGCTGTCTGCAGGATTCATACAGCGACTTTTTTTTCATTCCTATTCTAGTGACCTCGAAGGCTCATACTAGATTCGCCGAGCATGTAGATGAGTTCACGGGGCTCTACCTGGGGAGAACAGACATAGTTGCATCGTTACGACCATACTGCATGTGCACTCTTTAGACCATATTGACTTCAAATTTAAGCTGCAGCATTGGTGTGTTGTGCTGAACCCAGAGGCTGTATTAAGAAGTTCGCAAGACAAAAATCATATAGGTAACGAAAAAAAAAAATACTAACAAAAACACCACGAAAATATTTTATTAATATTTATTTATAATGAAATTAACGGTTTCAATTATTTTAACACACATCGATTTTACATATTACATACAACACATTCATTTTGCGGTTTAATTAAATCTAATTGTATAAATACATCTTAAGACTACAATAATTACATACACATTAGTAATTAGTACAAGAAAACACTTTAATACAATCGTAAATCATGACAGCGAGAATCGGAAATAATTCAAATACATTTTCAATATTGTATTTTGAAGTCACGACTACAAGAAGAAAATCCAATTCACGTTTTAAAATTTCTTTAAACCTTTTAAATTTTGATTTGTTTATAAGCGCGTAAATAATTTTTTTAGGCAGGCGTTCCACTTGATAGTAAGTGGTTGCAGCCAAGCCGTTGCCCACAGCTGGGACTCATTTCTGGTCTTGGCCACAACCAAGAAGGTTTACTTTAAATTAACTCAACAGATCTTGGTAATAAAGACGGACTATGCTCCAGCCGTAGGCAGCGTGATGGTCAAAACATAACGGAGTCATCTCAAAAATATACCTCGGAATGTATGGTACAAAACACACAAACACCAAAGTTCTAAGTCAAATTGAAGTAAAGAGTATCTGAGAGTTCCATGAGTTGTGGTACCTTGTTGGGAACAAAATTATTTCTACCAGTGACCCCCTTAACAAAAATATATCAATTAGCTTTTAGGGGCGGTTTGTTTTGCCCGCGAAACCTTTACTAATTTGAAAAGTACGGTAGCTGTTATGTAGTAGCCCATTACCTATGTGAGAGAAACGCATCTAGAACCCAAACATTTAGAACAAAAGTTCATATCTACCGTGAATAAATCCAAATAAGCAACCTAATACCGAATCGAACGAGACACCAGCCTTTTGACCAGTCCAAAATTTTCCTAATACCGTCTAGCATAGTACCGTACTCAATGCGTCTCCCCTTAGCAACTGCAAACACAGCTGCGGCGTCTATACGACACCATATTCGGGGAACATTACCAAATGTTTCGATCGATATTTGCATGCAAAAATACATTGCCATCGGAGAAAGCGGGAGCCCCTATGGCATCTTAATTATGATGGATGAGCGTAGATTTCAAGGTACTTTTATTGTTCGCTTTGAGAAGTCTTACCTAAACTAGTTCCACTGCCTCACGGGAGACCGGAATAGCGGCTTAGCGGGGGTCCTATAAGCAGGCGGTCCGTAATCCAGTTAGACTGTTTTTCTTTTGTCCACGGAATAATTCGCTAAATCAGAATATACTGTAAGTGCGGCTTTTCATCTCCCAGTTGTCATTATTGATAGTAGAACAGTAATGGGCTTTGTCATGTTTGGGGATCATCAGTTTTCGTGTCAAGTGTCGTGTTACGTGGGAACATTTCAAGGATACTAAAAGATAGCTAGCTGTTACATTGGCTACCGGTAGTTGAGGCTGCGATTCACATTCAACTTTCCATTGGAACACCAAACGGTCAATTCAATGAAGGTAATGGGTGATTACCGCTCTTTATAGCTAAATCAAAGCGCACACAAGTCTCCGGCAAGTTTTTGATGCACGCCAGATTGTACTTACTACACGCGTTTTCTTCTAGATCCCGTAAATAGTGCAAATATTTAAGCATCGTCCATCCTCTTCTATTGATCGCGTTGAAGAGAAATAGAGAAAATCTTTCAATGTGAACCCTTTTTGTGTATGACTCAGAACTCTGTATAGTCTGTACGGATGAGAGCGTGTGGGTGTTAGCAGTAAATCTTAACATTGTTTGTTTATTTACATTTTGTTTGTTAGGAATGTCTGGTTTAAGTGGTCGGTGCACGCGAGATATATTTAAAATATTGAATTAACGCTTTGTTTACTATTACAGTGATGTATGGACATTGTAATGTTCGGAAACTGGATGCTCCATTGGCAGTGCTAAAAATTTTTTTTCTTTCTTATTGATGAACGAACTCACAGCCCATCTGGTGTTAGGGTTGACGGGGCACATAAACATCTTCAACGTAAATGCCGCCACCCACCTTCAGATATGAGTTCTAATTCTCAGTTTTTGCAGTATAACGGCGCTCCACACTTCAAACCAAAACACATTACTGCTTCATGGCAGAAATAGGCAGGATGTTTTTTTTTTATTGAAGGATTACTGGTGGCCCGGAGGCCTTTCCAGTTTCGTCAGGACAGGTGGGCGAGCAAAGGCACAGCCAGGAGTGGCAGGATGGTACCCACTCGTGCGGGCTCACAATGCCCTAACANTGGCCCGGAGGCCTTTCCAGTTTCGTCAGGACAGGTGGGCGAGCAAAGGCACAGCCAGGAGTGGCAGGATGGTACCCACTCGTGCGGGCTCACAATGCCCTAACAAAATTTTCTACTAGAAATATTCGGCACATTTTTGTTATTACATATCATTTGGATCATTTTTTCAACTTTCCTCGTATGATTTCTCATAACCTGGGTGTATTTGGTGTTCAACATACCCAAAGGATTTTCTAATAAGTACTCTGTATAATTCATTTGCCATTTAAGATCATTGTCGTCATTCTACGCCTGCGCTCGCGCGAGGAAACTATAAACGCATATAGCAACCGATTGTTTTAAATTTGGCGCGAACAAAAGAGTTTGCGATGACGTGAGCTGTCAATAAAACATTTTACCAACACAGATAAAAGTCGAAAGTTTTTTGTTTTGTTTTTAAAAAGGCATCAAATTATATTATCTTTCTCTTCCGATACATTATTATAGAGTACAATAAAGTTGTTGTTTTACGTTTCTTGTTTTCATAGACGGTGAGTCTATTCCATTTGCCAAATTTGCACAAAACGATGACCTTAAGCTTTACCGATTTTTTGGTTTGGTTCTTTTAGCAAAATATTTGTGCGATTTCATTTAAAATTTAACACTTTTTCTTGATATAAACCAAAATACTTTTATTACATTAGATAAAGTTATTTTTTTAAATATGTCGTTTCTGTGCGATTTGTTCAAATCTATACACATATATTGTTTTAACTGACGATATGCCGTGTACCAACTAAAAACACAATTTTGTTTTTGAATTTGTTGATAATTTAACAATACTTTATCTAAAGTGAATGTATGTGTGTAAAATTATAATTCCATTCAAAATATTCACAAAGGAAGACACAAAAGTATGAAACAAATAAAAAAATATTAACAAAAACAGAAATTAAAATAGCAATATTTTATATTAAAACTTACATTTGGCTTAAATATATCACTTATTCGTAACACACTGATTGATATAGACTACGTAACTAGTTTTGGTTTCTATTTTTAATTAAAAAAATAATAGTTCCTATTAAAAAAAGCACACTAAAGACTCAATTCACATTCCCTGCATGCAATTTTACATTATTTTAAATATTTAATCCACATTACTTAGTGACGAGCAAAAGGAACCATTAAAACTAATAATTAAATCTTTTAAAATGACTCACAAGATACACTTACGATTCAACCTCTTTGTTCATTAAAAACAAAAAAAAAAAACAAATTGACATTCCATCATACACTCCGAACAGTTCGAATTTTAAAATCGTAGGCGCCAAAAATTTCGCAAAACCCGCTCGTTTAGTTCAACAAATTTTGATGTTTTTTTTACAGCCTTTATTGTATTTAATGAATGCTCACGACGCTGAGCTCGGGTTGTTACCAGCCTTCTCGTAGCCTTCGATGAGGGTTTCCAATATGAATTTAATTGTTATTTTGTAAATGTTTTCAACGTTTGGCGTGTATCGGTCGCCCAGCGTCGACTCGACGGCCGCAAGGAAGGGCGCTTCGATTTTCTGAAACAGACATAAATAATATCACTACACAGTATAAAACAAAGTCGCTTTCTCTGTCCCTATATCCCTATTTATGCTTAAATCTTTAAAACTACGCAACGGATTTTGATGCGGTTTTTTTTAATAGATAGAGTGATTGAAGAGGAAGGTTTATATGTATAATAACATCCATTAAATAGCGGAGAAATACTGTTATCAATTATAAATTACAGTTCCCTAAGCGAAGCGAGGGCGCACAGTGGGTCGATACTGTGAGTTTAGTGACTTAGGGACCAACTTTGTTTTTTTATAAATTTTTTTATGTAGATAGATAGAGCTCGTTAATCTCAATAATAATTGCTTTGGGCAAAAATTACAAAAACTTTATAGTTTGGTCAGAAAAATGTGTTTTGTGATTTTTTTGTATGGAGCGGGTCACATTAAATTAAATTCCTGCTAAGTACCGCGAGGTCCCGCTTTGAAACTTTATTTTCCTTATACCTTGTCTAGTCTACTATCATTNATCGTCTCCTTCAAAGAATACGGTTCAAAACCTGCATTAAATAAAGGTTAATAGTTAACCTGTTATTTATCTAAGATGTCGTTCCGAAGAGTTTTGTGACTGCCAATGGAATACAAAGTCAATAATTCGTTTTTCTGATTTACCAATCATTGTCCAAAAGTCAGATTGCCGCCTTTGATAATAGTCGACTCATATAAAACAAAGTCGCTTTCTCTGTCCCTATATCCCTATGTATGCTTCTATCTTTAAAACTACGCAACGGATTTTGATGCGGTTTTTTTAATAGATAGAGTGATTGAAGAGGAAGGTTTATATGTATAATAACATCCATTAAATAGTGGAGAAACACTGTTATCAATAATAAATTACAGTTCCCTAAGCGAAGCGAGGGCGGGTCGCTAGTATTAAATGTAATTAGGCGGCCATTGCGAGACATCGCAGATTTTCGACTCGACGCTTTTATTTCTAGTTTTTTCAAAGTCATATGCCGTATTAAATTTCACGGTGGCAATTAAATTGGAATCCATTGGCTTCGATTAGTATTTAATATATCGACAGTAATAAAAATCTTATCTCGCTGTCGGCCAGCACACCCGAGCAAATATTACAAATCGATGAGGTTTTATTAAAAATGAATACGTGCGAGAGACTGCGATAGGGACTGAGCGAAAATACACAAACGTATTTGATTTTCGGTCACGGCTTATAGGATCGAAAATAAATTAATCCACAGACACAGCCCTACTGAGTTTCTCGCCGGATCTTCTCAGTGGGTCGCGTTTCCGATCCGGCGGTAGATTCTGCGAAGCACGACTCTTTGCTAGGGCTGGGGTTAGAGCCCCGTGAGCTCACCTACTCGCCCGGAGAATCTAGTATAACCCCTCGAGGTTACTACAATACGAAGGAAAAAAAAGAAAGGGCGGTTCACTACTTGCACGTAAAAAAAAATAGAAGTAATTTTTCCATTCCCACAACAGACTAGACGACTTAACACCAGATTATTTCAGAGGTTTGGGAGAGTTCGACACCTACAACTCTATACTATAAATTGTACCCAGTATATTTTTGAAAAGTCATAGCATTTTAATCTACCCTAGTGCTGGTGGGTCAAGAAAGACCTGCCGCGTACTGGTGGAAATATCATTGGGGGCGCATTTTGACCTGCTGCCGCATCATATGAAAGTTTATGACTTTACTTGCCGCAGCCAAGTTGTTAGAATCCTGAAAACGGAGTCTGAAAACGACTGATCCAGATATCAATTTGACACGAAATATATTAAGTGTATTTATTATATATGCACGAAATTCTAAGTCACACTCCAATAAAATGGCGACAAATCGTTATTGAAAAACTCAGTCGAGCTTTTCACAGCATGAACAGAACATGAATTCCCCCCTCAAATTGAGTTATAAAGTCAAAATCCTAATCTTATTGCTATCTTTGAGTATCCTGTAAGATGACCCCAAATGACGTCACACAGTTGCAAACAATGAAGCTTGCGTTTATCTTTGTTCTGTCAAGCTTTGTATAGAATGCACAGAAGATATGAGGCATAATAGATTTCTATTTCTAGATAAACACTAGCTCCAATTGATAATTGAGGAAGAAATTAAAAGTTCAATGGGACGGATGATTTTGGTTATATGTGAAAGACCTTTTGTGCGATTCATCTTTTTGGATCAACTCTTGGATAAATCGAAATCCTTCTCATTGATGCCCAAACTATCTAGAACCGCGTTAGGATCGCAATTACAATGCAATCAACCGCTTATTTCTAGTGGTTAGTGATTGTGACTTCTGTGTTATGGGATTTGCAAACCCGGAAGACTGTGGTACTTTAAATTGGCCTAGCAATGACTACAGTTCAAGAAATGTGTTTATTAACGAATTTCCGCAATGAATAAATAACATTTTATTAAGAAATGCAATGTTTCAAAGTTGTCCCTGCCTTGAATATATAACAAAAAAGGGCTATGAAATAACCAAACCCGCGCGTGCCCAAAATATCTCGTAACGACACTCGCAAAAACTAAAGTCTCTAGGAAGCTTATTAATTTACTTCTTTGAAATGTAAGGAAGCTTTCTCAAAACAAATGATTGCAGCTTTATAATGTCACGAATGAATGTGGACACGAATGCGGTACGTTGTGCCCTTAGAAATATGTTTTATTCCGAGCTTCCATCCCAAGGAATAACGTTTCTTATAAAATATCTAGGTCAGTTTGTTATTTGTATTTATTTGCCGAGTCGATATGCGGACGTATTTATTGACGATCCAATAAACGTCGATGTAAGAGGCACACTTTATCAAAATTAGATTCGTTTATGGCTTTTTTCTGTCGGCCTTATTATGTACGCTGTTTTTCGGGTCAAAAACTATAGAAAGTTGATATCGTCATTGACATTAAGAAAACTGAATTGCACGACTGGTATGTGCATTAAAATGTAAAAAGGAGATATTCTGTTTCGAGAACTAAACTATCAAAGGCTATAATTAATATTATTACAGTAGTAAGACATTAATAATATCAGTAATAGCTGATAATATTGCAACGGTTTCCGTCGTAAGCAAGGAATACTGAATTAAGTTATTCAGCTTAGAACGACAGAAGGACTAACACCTCTTGTAGTGTTTGAGCGGCTTATTGGTGGAATCACATATAACAACTGGATTCCACTACCGTTCTTAACAAATGAAGTGGAAGAATATAAGTAAAGAAATATTCATTTAAACCAGAACACACCACTAGTTCGATGTGGAAATAGCCAGTATGGTAAACCTATCCATAGCTTTATAACCCACTAGCTGACCCAGCAGACTTCGCAGTGCCTCAATCGATAAATAAAAGACTTAAACTTTTGTATAAAATAAACTTAAAATAAACAAAAGGAATCCATCCGACGGGGGACACATCAAAGAGATTTTTTTTTTTAATTCCGAGCATTTTCATATTTTATCTAACTTTTAAACATTCTCACTTCCACAAATCATTCAAGACCAAAATTAGCCAAATCGGTCCAGCCGTTCTCGAGTTTTAGCGAGACTAACGAACAGCAACTCATTTTTATATATAGAAGATGAATATGATAACTAACTATACTTTAAGGAAGTTTGTCGCAATATTAGCTGAAAAAGCAATTCCTGGATCCACTGGGACTTATCGGTAAATGTGATTCAACGATAAAGACTTTTCTCTGGTTAGGGAAAGAACTTAGTAGCACGTTGANATATTAGCTGAAAAAGCAATTCCTGGATCCACTGGGACTTATCGGTAAATGTGATTCAACGATAAAGACTTTTCTCTGGTTAGGGAAAGAACTTAGTAGCACGTTGACCGACTGTAGTTTAACTTAAATAGGTACAAATAAACGAATCTCTTACCCAAAAATATTCCACTCTGAACCCAGGTATTTTTCTATGGCTAGCTCCAACTTGGTGTATGTACTGGAAGAAATTGTCCAAATCGTCCAAACCCTTGATCCCCTCGTCCAGGGTGTTCATTACGTTGTTGGCGTGCTCCGCGAGCTCCATGGAGTTTATCTGCTCCTCTTTCGTCTTGCACTGGCGAAATTTCTCGAACATGTCCAGTAGATCTTGGTTCTCTTCGAATAACCTAGCAAAAGACATACTCTCTCTTAGTATTTTGAAGTGGTTTTTTTTATTGCCTAGATGTGTGGACGAGCTCACAGCCAACCTGGTGTTAAGTGGTTACTGGAATCCATAGACATCTACAACGTAAATGCGCCACACACCTTGAGATATAAGTTCTAAGGTCTCAAGTATAGTTACAACGGCTGCCCTACCCTTGAAACCGAAACGCATTACTGCTTCACGGCAGAAATAGGCGAGGCGGTGGTACCTACCGCGCGGAAACACGAGAGGTCCTACCACCAGTAAAAAGAGTTTCGATCTAAAGCACCACACGATGCTTTTAAATTTGGATTATTTGGTTACACGGCTCATGAATAACACATTTATTTTCAATCTTTTTTATTTTAGCTATTAGGGCTGAGCAAACGTTTCTCCGTCTTATTGACGCGATGTTTCGTACAATTTATTTATTTACAATCAAAGAAATATCGATTGTGGTTTTTCTCTGTGTATTCTATTTTCAACGTGTCAACTTATAAATCTAACACCGAAAGTTGAATTACAAATATACGTCTGACATGGCACACAGCAGGAAACCACTTTGCCTAAGTAGGTACTACTGTAAACATAAATAATAAAAAAAAAACAAAAAAAAGCTACTGAAACTCAACTAATTCATATGAGCGTCTTCTTTTTTTCACTTAGCAAATTGGAAACTGTTGTATTTGCGAAAATGTACAATAATGAATAATTTATGATACACAATGCAACCGAAACTAAAAAATTATAAGAAAATAATAGCTTAAAAAAAACACGCTTTTATAGAAAATCCAACTAAAAAATAGAAAAAAACTAAGGTAAAAAAAAGCGTGGGATGCATGGTGTCAATAGTTATAAATATTAGAGGTCCCGCAGTAGTCGAAATTCGACTATAATTAATTGGAATTGTAAGTTTGTACACTATTATGATTGTATTTTATACTTCTATAATCACAAATTTTCATCAAGACTACACTATAAAAATATTAGCAAAGGCAAACAATATTTAATCTATTCTCAATTTGACAACAGACGCCAAGAACGAAAGTTTGACAATAATTAGTATGCATGCGTGTGTGCGTCAAATACATGGTATGTAGTGTGTGTAATGTTTTCTTTATTGATTTAATGTATCTTTTATGCATTATTTAAAAAAATATTTGCATTGTGCACTGCTTCTCTATATTCTCTATAAGTGTGGAAAATTTCATACTCCTCCGTCCGCGCAATTTTCGTAAAAAGGGATACAAAGTTTTTGCTTCACGTATTAATATATAGATTTTATTGACAGATATGAGTAGAAGGATTATAATTTTGATATTATCTTAAAAAGCACTCTACGCTTTTTTTACAATAAATTTATTTTCAATTTTTTGGTTGGATTTTCTATAAAAGCGTGTTTTTTTTACCCTACACTTTTTTTTACAATAAAGTTATTTTCAATTTTTTAGTTGGATTTTTTATAAAAGCGTGTTTTTCTAGATTTTTAAACTATTATTTATTTTTCTGTTTTTAGTTTCAGTTGCATTATATATCATAAATCATTCATTAATGTATTATACATTCTCGCAAAATACAACAGTTTCCAATTTGCTAGGTGAAAAAAAGAAGACGCTCATATGAATTTGTTGTTTTGTTAGACGAAAGTAAATAACGGGTCTAACTGCTTATACGACTAATATTGAATTGTCATCGGTCCTTGATAAGTATGCCAAATTTCGAGTTAATCCGACGTTTTGAAAGGGGTCAAAATCATGTTCAAAGATTCCGTTACCTACTAACATAGATTATTTACTGAATAGATTATTAATATTATTATTATTATTTTACTGACTCCCTTTTAGAATCTCCAATGTATAATAGATACGCAATATATATTACATATAATGTGTCATTAAATTAATAAATCTTATGATAAAAGGTATTTTTTTATTGTGTACAAATTTTTGTGTTAAAATACCAATTTTGGTGTATTGACAATTTAGGTGTCGATAATATTTATGTAATTTTCGGGTTTAATTAGACTTTTCTAGCTTTTCATACAACTATATACGTATTTCTACCTAATTATAGAATAATTTTATCTATATATAGAGAAACAAAAAAAAAACCACCAAAATTAGGTAAAAATTTATAGATGTCGAAATTCACCCATAACATAAATATGAAGCTAATAAAAGCGTATTAATGATGACAAGCTGAGTCCAACCACGTAATCATAGATACTTCTCAATTCAATTGAACAAAAAAATATTTTCGTCACAACTATGGTGTTCCCTATGGCTATTAAGCTCGAGCTGTTTTATGGGTTTGTTATAAAGTCCAAGGTTTATCGGTTGATCATAAAACTCTTGGATTTTTTCCAAAAATATTATTTCGATATACATATTTATTACATAGTTTTACGTTTACATTATATTATGTATTAACATTTACTGTGGTCAAAATAAAAGGTACATAAGAGTTATTGGTTTTATTCAAACGGTCACACATCTATATATTATTACGTGAAGCAAAAACTTTGTATCCCTTTTTACGAAAATTGCGCGGACGGAGGAGTATGAAATTTTCCACACTTATAGAGAATATAGAGAAGAAGTGCACAATGCTAATATTTTTTTTTAAATAATGCCTTAAAGATACATTAAATCAATAAAGAAAACATTACACACACTACTATGTATTTGACGCACACACGCATGCATAATATTTATTGTCAAACTTTTTTTCTTGACGTCTGTTCTCAAATTGAGAATAGATTAAATATTTTTTGTCTTTGTTAATATTATTTTATAGTGTAGCCTTGGCGAAATTTGTGATTATAGAAGTATAAAATACAATAACAATAGTGTACAAACTTACAATTCCAATTAATTATAGTCGAATTTCGACTACTGCGGTACCTCTAGTATACATAATAGCACACTGCGGATTTGCTTTAACAATCAGTATCAAATTATTTCATTGAGAGTTCGAGACGCCTCAAGCTGATAGGCACCAACCAAGTAGTGACACACAAATCGTGTACCTTATGCTATAGTGTTGGAAGAAGGATACCAACATACGTAGAAGTCGTCGTGGCTTAACGGATAAGACGTCCGGTGCATTCGTATGTAGCGATGCACCGGTGTTCGAATCCCGCAGGCGGATACCAATTTTTGTAATGAAATACGTACTTGTCAAATGTTCACGATTGACTTCCACGGTGAAGGAATAACATCGTGTATAAAAATGAAACCCGCAAAATTATAATTTGCGTAATTACTGGTGGTAAGACATCTTGTGAGTCCGCACGGGTAGGTGCCACCACTCTGCCTATTTCTGCCGTGAAGCAGTAATGCGTTTCGGTTTGAAGGGTGGGGCAGCCGTTGCAACAATACTGAAACCTTAGAACTAATACCTCAAGGTGGGTGGCGGCATTTACGTTATCTTTGTCTATGGGCTCCGGTAACCACTTAACACCAGGTGGGCTGTGAGCTCGTCCATGCATCAATGCAATAAAAAACAATTGTATCAAGAACTCAAACAGGAGATCAAGATACTAAGACGCAAGACCTCAATTTAATAACATTGCTTAATTAAGGATAACGATGGACTCCGAATGGACGAGCTTTAAAAATAAAAGCTCTCGAAGTAGGAAGGTTCCAGTCACTTTAATTACATTACAAGGGATAACAAAGCAGATTTTCCTAATAAAATTCTTAGATTGCAAATTAAAGTCGTTAATTAGTTACCTTAAATTACCTTTTTTCAACAGATTTTCCAACAGAGCAACGTATCATGCTTTAATTAACAAATTATTTTACGGTTCTCGGTCATTAATGTTGTTGATACCGCTAGTTAAGTTGAGTATGGTTTTATAGTCTTCGGGAAAATATATCCCTAAAATCTTTTACTTGTTTTTTGACGCGACGTCTTATAATTCGATGGAGCCGTCTGCACGCACGAAAAAACATGACTCATGCGGCGTTACCACGCTCTGAGGCGTTCCATTTAAGGCTTGAAGTGCAAGCGAGAGCGCGCAACGAGCGACAAAGAGGCACAATCGGCCTCCGCGTTCGGCAGCGTTCGACATCTGTCTCTCTCTCCTACAAAAAATTGCTCATAGCACATTCATACTTGTAAAAAAACTATGTACATTGTAAAAAAAAATTGACATAATTGTATTTATGCGTACAAATAAATGTAAATTGATCAATTCAATAGTGATTTCCATTTACCTCCTTCTCTATATCCATACAAAATATCTATTAAAGAAATAAAAGTAAAATTTTCTTTTCAAAAATGAAACCATTCCATCAGTATTTTCTTATGACATTGTCACGTTCAAGTATCGTCAGTAAACCGACTGTACAGACAACCGATTTTTTTATTATTAATTATGGACTACTGGTGGCCCGGAGGCCTTTCCAGTTTCACCAGGACAGGTGGGCGAGCTAAGGAGGGAGGGATGGGATTTGCTTACAGCTGCCCGAGCACCTCCAAAGGACCCCTAACAACTCAAGAGCATCTGCTTCGCGAATATACTACCGGATCGGAATTGCGATCCGCTGAGAAGATCCGGCGAGAAACTTGGCGGGCTGATGCATGGGTTAGGTTGCACGTCGACCTCTTTGTCGAGTTCGACGAGTAACGGTTACCGGGGTTCCTAAGCCTGCTCCTAGTGTTAGAGCTGAAGGCGTCTAATGCAAGAGCCATTAGATTTGAAGGATGCGTAAAGAGTGTCTGATTGACTTCTGCGTGATCAGGACTCGGGAGTAGTCAGCGGCGGCAACGATAAGGCGATTATCATGAGATAAACAGAGCTTGGGAGATGCAAAAGGGGTGACCGCGGTCAAAGCCTAGTCGACGGAGTCGTCGGCTAGAACTGACTCTACTGGCTGAATTACTCGGTGGTGCAGTAGTCAGTTGCCCTGACTGTTGTGCCAAGGGTCGTGGGTTCGATTCCCACATCGAGCAAACATTGTGTGATGAAAAAAAAGG